AAAGCATCACTCAGCCTATTATTAAATGGAATCGGTTGAATTTATTAACTATATAATGATAAATTTGGTCGTGTAAATGATTGGGAATGGAATGTGAAAGCAAAAGTTGTCTTGAAGCTAAAAAGTCTGGTTGGGTTTTCACATGTGCAAAGAGTCGTGTACGTTACTTTTTTTTTGGGCATTATGCTACCATATATAATAATAATAATAATAATAATTTTGTAATTTCCCATAAATATTACCCAGAAAATGGGGAAATTTTGTTTTAATTTCATTATAAATAAATAAGCAAAGGAAGAAAAAGGTAGAGCACTGCCAAAAGTAGAGCAATTATACATACATATATATATATATATATACATATACTTTTTAAAAAGGAAATCATGAATTAAATATTTCTATACTTTTCTAATGGATTTATGTATGTTCCACCATCTGCCTAGAGCGATTAGATTTATAATATTTTAAAATAAACAAAATATTATATTTTGATTGTCTTTAGGTGTGGACTTTGCATAGAAACCTATTTCATCAATATTTGAGATCAACTTTATATAAATGAATGTGACAAATCAGTAGGCCACGTGTAATATTGTTAGGTGTAAAATAAAGTTAAGAAAAATACATTGTCTAAATTTTTAATATTTTAATTTTTTATATTACGAGTCTTTTATTAATTTCATTATTTTAATCTTTATCCTATTAAATTTCTAAACTTTTTTCAACTACTACGCCATTTAATTGTTAAATAATACGATTAATTAAATTAATGGAATTAATGGTAAAAAGCAATTGAAATAAGTGGAGACTTAAACTTATATATATATATATATATATATGTAAACAAAAAAGGTGAGGTATTAATTGAAGATAATTGAGTAAAAGCTGGAAAGAATAAGACCCCCAAAATGGGGGCGTGGAAATGCCAGTTGGCTAATTTTGACTTAAAAGCGTTGAAAACTGATGACTGGATGCAGTGGACTTTGTTCCAGAGTTGATTTAATGAGTAATAGGGCCCAGATTTGTTAGTCCGAAATGTACTGGAATTTCTCTTCCTCTAAGCCCATTAATATACTCTTTTTTATGTGGGCTCGGCCCACTTACCGTTAGAAGCCCGAAAGCTACAAGTCAACTTTTGGATTGGGCCCAGTCCACTTGCTTTCTTTTACTTTCAAATGAACGCCTCCGAATAAAGGGAGACAAAAGACAGAATAATAACAAAAATAAAATCAAAACTATAAAATACTGGAAATTACTTTATTTAAGAAAAAACAAAGACAAAATAATTCTAATAATGATTTGATAATTAGAAATCTTGATTTTATTATCCAACAATTTTGCATTCAGTCACCACGGTTTTCTGATTCTTCTCCAGTTCTTGCCGATTTAGAAAGAAATGGAGCTGCTAATTAGCTCCCCTGCCGGAGATTGTACTTTCAACGCCAGGTTATCTCATTGCTGCACTTAGTTAATGCGCCTTGCTTTGACGAAATGCCTGAACCATGCTCTACTTCGGATTTTTCACCAGCGCATTACCCGCTTCTTGTTGCTTCCCCAACGAGTTTGGATGTTTGAGCCCATGCGTATTTCCCTCCGTTGGTTTGGTTTGTAGCTCGAGATGCGGCGGGAATCCGCTTCATATGGCTGCGACCGAAACACGGTGCGCGTTTTTGTCTTCGAAGGGTATGATTAACGGTTGTTCTGGGTTTGTGAGGAGGTGTAAAAATTTGGATAGAGAAGGGGATTTCGAATTGGAGGCGGAGATATTGGAGTTTATGGAAAGTTCAAGAAATCCAGATGCGTTTCCGAGCAAGAAAGACCTGATTGAGGCTGGGAGGGAGGATTTAGTGGATGCGATTGTCAAGAAAGGTGGGTGGCTTTGTCTTGGATGGGATTTGAACGATCGGGAGTTTGCGTTAGCCACTGATTGGGATAGTTTTGGTGAATCCAACTGTTCAAAGTGGGATGATAGACAAAGATTTGCGACGGCTGTTTCTCGCATTGCTTCTGCATCTACACCATCTTCATTCACCGGTAGATCACTGTGAGGATTCCATTACCACATCTTAGTATTAATCGAGTTTTCCTTGTTGTGTCTAGTTTGTCTACTATCAACAATATTTGTAAGGGTGATGAGTCTACATGGCTTCATTTTCACAGGGAAACTGTTGTTAAGCACGAGTCTGGTATTGAGGGTATACTGAGTCGATTGGAAAAAGAAAGAAGTGTGACCTTCGGGGCTCGTAAAAATGATTCGCATCCTGAAACATCAGGAAACGAGGTAAAGTTGCTACAGTGATTCAATGATTGATTTTCCCAATCTGGGCAAGATTGTTGTCCATAATTAGAATTTGATGCAGGATATCTTCCTCACTGGCTTGTCATAATTGGCTGTGCTTGTGCTATGATTTCTTTTTCATTGAGCTTTGAAATAGTGTATATGCATAATCTCTCGTAAGAATTGGAAGACCCTGAAACTTAACTTGTGATGCTTCTTCCATGGTAAAAGACAGTTGCTGACTTACAAGGAAGCACTACCAGCACTCCACTTAGTGCCAAACGTTGGAGCAATTTGGAGGGTTATCTTTGTCGGAGTTCTTTTCCTGGACGAGTTAATGGTCTTGGAGGCTCGGTCAGTCCCGAGGTGCCGATAACTTGGAACACATTGAAGACAGATCTTCAAGATGGAGGTTTCGAAGGTTTTTCATTTATTCATAGGTTGCTTTGTGATATAAGTGTACACATCGACTCACTTTTCCTTTGTATGTACAGCTTCTGAAATTGCTTTGAGGGGAGGAAGGAGCGGGAAAGTACTGGATGTTTTGAGATATGAAACACCAGGATATAGACAGGATTCGACCAATTCAAACTCTGGCAAGAAAGAAATGAATCACAATCAAATGCGACTTCACCTTCAGAACATGGAGTTGGAGCTCTCCAACGTACTTGGCTCATTGAGATCTAATGCATTTGCGTCTGAGAAGGTTCATTCTACAATCTACATGCTTTTATTTCCTATTTTGGAACTAGAGAGAGATCTGAATAAAGTATAAGAGCTAACTATTCTAATCGTATTGATAAAAAGGATGAACGTTCTGATGATTATTTCTTTCACGATCATTAGGACCAAAGTAAATGTTCTGATGATTTGCTAGAGCTTTCGGATGCTTTTGAGTTTCAAGAAAATAGGATCCTAAATGCCAAGGACGAGCTACGGTCTATACGAGCAAAGTTGGCCGTGGTAGAAGGAAAGATGGCACTGACAATTATGTATGGAAAACTTGTGGTTTGCACATTGATTTGTTTTAACCATGGAAGTATCAATAACTTTATAAAGTGTTTTCAGTGATGCACAAAAAGTGATAGAGGAGAAACAAAAGAATATCAAGTGTGCCCGCAGAGCTTTGCAAATGCTCCGCACTGCTTGTGTGGTCTGGCCTAATTCTGCATCAGAGGTTCTCTTAGTAGGATCATTTGATGGTTGGTCAAACCAGGTAAAAAGTCATTCCTATTTGATTAATTTGCTTGATTTTGACGGTTGAAATAATAATAACCTAGGGAGGGAGGGCATTAAAACAAAATTTGAAATCTACTAGGGATTATTTCCTCTGTTATGCCTCTAGAATGTACTGCTTGCCTATTGATTGAAATGTGATTGGCCCTGTGTGGTAGTTCAGAAGTTAGGCTTCTCGACAAGAACATCCATTTTGATAACTTCCACTACTTTGGCCTTGCTTTGTTGGTGTAAGATCCCACGTTGGTTTGAGAGGAGAACAAAACATTCTTTATGAGGGTGCGAAAGTCTCTCCTTAGTAGACGTGTTTTAAAATTGTGAGGCTGACGGTGATACGTAATGGGCTGTTATAGTTGGTGAATGTCTTGCTTGCAATGGATTTACATTTTATGACCTTGGGTTCCTTTAAACCACAGTTGACAGTTTTGTCAGATAACTGTTGCTCAGGCTGATGATGTTTTAAGATGTGAATTATACATGATCATGTAGGTTTCTAGTGGTTGATCTTTACACAACTACGCTGAATATTAACACTGGTTACTTTATTAATTCATCTGTTCCCATTCTGCAGAGGAAGATGGTAAGGTCAAGTGTGGGCGTTTTCTCATTATTCCTAAAGCTGTCTCCTGGAAAATACGAGGTTGGTTATTCCTTGGAATGTCTGTTCACATAGTTTATAGTTTTGAATAAACATCCTACCGTTTTTCTTGATATGCAGATTAAATTCATTGTTGATGGCCAATGGAAGATCGACCCTTTACGCCCAATTGTTATTAGCAGTGGGTACGAGAATAATCTACTGATTATCACATAGCAGTTTACACCAGGCTTGCCCGTAGAGTCGGGTGCCTTAACATTCCCCTTTCGTAGCATATTCGTACTAATTATACATGCATTTCTCTGAACTTCTAGTCTAGAATTCCTCCTTCTCCAAGTTCACATTTCTCGCTGATGTAAAAATATAGATAAATATAACACAATTATTTCCAGAGACTCAATCAGCTCAATAAGAATCAGTGAAGACTCATTTTTCACGATTCTTGTCACGGTCTCTTGTTTTTTTTTCATATGTTATGTATCACATATCGTGGAGTAATTCTATTTCACAAATTTTGTCTTTTGAAATAGAACTCATCAAAACACGGAGCAAGAACAAGAGCAGCCATGAGAGCTCACCAAAACCCAAGAAAAAGTTATTACAAAACCCTCAAGAAGAAGCCAGAAACAGTTCCTGCTGAGCCCATGGATGTTCAAGAACAGAATTTAACCATGAATTATACAGTAAATATAATCCATAAAAGTTCTTAATGTTATTAGTCGTGCTCAACCACAAACATCTACCAATCCGTTAAAAGATGCATTTTTCTTAGAGGAGGTTCTGTGCTCTTGCAGAAGCTCATATAGTAAGGAAAGCCGAAGCATAATTAAAAGCAAGCACCCAGCATCTTGATGAACTCAGAACAGTTCGAAAAAAAGAACGCACTAATTATGCAACAAAGCTTTGGTGAGAAGCTAGAGTTTCCTTGTATTAACGGAAGATTTACATTTATAACACACACATGAATTTAGGACCATAAATAAGCTTGAACTCGTAAGAATTAAGGGGGAATTGGGAGAAATCTAGCATAAACAGTTATGCACTCGAACACTCAATCTATACTTCACCATAATATACCCAAAAAAGAGCAAACAAACAGACAAACTATCAAATAATGAAGTAATCTATAACCTTAGAGAATATCATCGTAAGCAACAACTTCCCTGCCCCTGAAAGGCTCATCGGACCTTGACGAACTATTGCTTTTTCTGGGGTTGACAATGGTTGAAGCAAGCTTATTGCCTCTTCCATGTCTACTCAGTGGCACTTCTGCCCGCAAGAGCTTCGATGACATTTCCTTGTTCTTGTTAACACCAACGTTAATCCCTTGCCGCCATTGCACTTGAGGATCATTCGCCCATAATACCTGAACCTGTGGTAATGTCCTCAATTTCATCATTCACAATGAAAACTAGTAGAGCAGCAAATCCAATTGAGTCTCAAGCCCTAGCCAATTTAGAGTTTCGCACGCAAAATCAAGACCTAAATTCAGATGGGCCTTGAGAAATTTGCGAAAGTGGATGAAGGAATAGTTCAAATTTTCAATATAGGAATGCGAGAAATGCAGCAAACAGTAAAAGATAAACAAAATCTGGTACATAAATCTCCACCCAACTAGAATGATCAGAAGAGAGCTTCCAATTTACTCTATATTTTCGCCGAGAGCCTTTTCTACTTCAGAAGTGCAGAAAAATAAAAGGGAACCTTTTTGGAATCAATGGTGAAGCCGAATGAGGGATCGAGAGCAGCGGCCATGGCAGCATCAGCGGAGTCTTTGGTACGATACATGATGTAGCCAACACAATCACGGTCGATGCGGATGCGGGAGATGGATCCGTAGATTTCAAATCGGGACTTCAAGTCAAGCACCGAGCAGTGTGACGGAAGGTCAACGACGACTAGGGCAAGCGGCGGCGCAGGCTTCGGCAAGGGCTTGTCCACATCATCGTCCTCCGCAGGCAACGATGCCGGCGGCTGATGGCGCCGCCTCTTAGCGAAGGACGTAGAGTGGTGGGTGGAAGGGTAAGGTTTATCTCTCTTTCGACCCATCGCTTCTCGGGGGAGCGGCGGCAGAGAATGGTTGATGCCAAGGAAACTGCGCCTTATGCCCCAATTTCACCTCCGCCCTCTGCAAATTTAGCCCCTACACGTTCCAACGACACTGAGCTCTATTTGTGTTAGCAAAATTTTCACATATTACATGAAAAAAAAAAAATAATAATAATAAATAAATTAACAGAATTTTAAAAAATTTATACCCTTTGTTCTTTTAATTCAAAAATACCCTTTCTATTAGAAATATATTTTAAAAATACACATAAAATTTCAAAAATAATATTAACACTGGTTACTTTTATAAAAAAAATTTATAAAAAAAGTTTTAATTGACATCTCATAACTTATCTCCAAACTTTTTAATTTTTCTTTAAAAGATTTAAAAATATTTTTGAAGATTTAAAAAAAAGTAAAATATAATTTTTTTTATTTTTGTGATTTTTTTGAAAATGTAAAGTATTATTGAAATAAATTGTAAAGTTTATAATTTTTTTTTATCAAAAAACATATATTTTTTTCTTTTTATCTTTGGTGTACTAAATTATAAAAAATATCCTTAAGTTTTATTTTTATTTTAAGATCACCCATTATTCATTCAAAATCTACCCTTTTATATTTGAGTTTCCCTAAACTCTTTAAACTATATTTGTAGTATAAATAGTATTTAATTTCAAATAAAAATTAGGATGGTAATCTAAAATAATGTGTTATCAAAATAAAAATTTATATTTTTATGATAATTTTTGGGAAGGATTAAGAGTAATATTACAAATTTTAAAAGAAAATGATACCGAAGAATTTTTTTAGACAAAATTAAGGAGTTTCTTAATATAAATAGACGACATTTAAGTATAGAAAATAAATAAACAATTAACATGGTTTTAAAATATAGTTGGTCCCTCAACTTTGGCTACTCTTCAACACGTTTACAAGCAATTGTGTGACATTTACTCTTAGAATAAAGTGAGTTAGCCAACTCAAAATTAGGGACAAAGAAAGAGATTGCGCTAACACTTATCCACTGGCCCCATTAACAAGGTTTTTAGAAAACAAAGGTAAAGAGATCTTTGAAAGAGGATTTGAAAGTAAGATTGACACAATGTTATGTACTTTAAGCGAGAAAGATAACACAACGACTTAAATAATATATAACTTCGAGTAGGAAGAATTGACGACTAGTCGCATCCACCTATAGTAGATTTTGAGTCGAGCATATGCATGATTATACCGAAACATCATACACTTAGGAAATACAAAAAGAAACCATACATCATGAAATCGGTAAAGAAAAGCAGTAAAATGATACAACACAAGGGGTTGACATGAAACGGGCATGCAGTCACAGACAACACGCCTTAGACAAACATGACCGTCTTAGTAGCAGACTCAATCTTTTAGACTAAAATTTGTTCTCCAATTTCTCTCAAAGTCTCCACCCATTGATTTCACCATGTTTTGACATCCAAAGGCCGAGGTGGGCTGTCTGAAAGATCATGATTCCAGAGGGCTTTGCTTGGAGGGATTAGGCATGCAAATTAGAAGAGTAAGTTGATGACGATGAACAACACAACTGCTAATGGAAATGGTAGGAGAATGTTGGATGAAGAAACCAAATGTATGAACTCTCCATTTCTTGGCTCTTCAATGCCTGGATTGCTCGTTGTTTCATTTGATGCTTTCTTTGTTCTGCATCCCAATGCATCACTTGTTAAGCATAAAACATAATTTACTCCCATTCTTTTATAACTTTTAGACAAAAAAGTCGACTTTTAATGACAGTTTTTGAAATGTTTATAAACCCGGATGAATTAAGTCGGTCTAGGGGCATACCCATCGGCGTCGGGGCAGAACACAATTGTATAGTCGTAAGCTTTGCAGGTAAAAGTACTAGTCCCATCGTCATAGGCATAACTGTATGCCTTTGGACATGCATGCTTGAAAATAGAGGAGTAAATGGAAGGGTGGCATGTCGTGGGGTTTGCAAATTGTCCACTGCAACAGTATTGGTCAAGCCCAAATGCCTCGCAAGCGCTTTTGCATGCCACCACTCCCCCTTCTTGTCCCCCATCTCCCCCCACTACTTGCAGCTCTTTTGGACAACCTGTATACGTCAATATTGGACTATCACGACTCTCTATAATGATATGATATTGTCCGAGTATATGCTCTAAACTTAACTTACCTAAATTGAGATCGGAAGCACAGCCTGTAGCATTACAGGGACCAAAGACACCACGTGGCACGACGACAAGCGGCAAGTTATAGCCATCGACAATGCTGACATCGTAGAAGTCCTTGTCATCGCCAGTGCCAACAGTGATCTCAAAGAGCGAAACGGGAGGAGTGGCACCATTGCCATCACATTCCAGCCTTCCCCCACAGTCTCCTGTTTGACACTTCCCAATCCCAGAAGCATCGAAGTTGCATCCGGTCCTTCCCCATATTCGTCCCGACCATCCCGGAGTCGATGGGATTCTAACACTTTGGCCCGAGTTCAAAAGAAATCCTGTCGTGGGAAGCGGCGGCGTGGCAGCGCCAGAGAGCGTGCCTGGCCATATGGGATGCGGGCAATTGTTTGTGATGGTGAATACGCAGCCATATGCACAAGAGAAGGAGGAAAGGACACCAAGAAGAAGAAAGATGCTGCCAAAATCCATTAATTATGTTGGCTATGGGTATGGGTTTGGATGATTGTTATAAAGAACCTCCCAAGGAGGATAAGGTTGTTGATTATTCTGAGCCGCAATATGAGTTCTTCAGGTTTGGCATTTTGTTTTGAATTAAAGTCCTTTCTCATAAGCAATTCCTTTCCTTTGCCAATTACACAAGACACCAACTACAACAAATTCTTGAAATTCACAAAAAAAAAAACAAAAAAAAAAACATAAAAACCAGAATTTTTGTTGAGCAAATAATTTCTGATCCATTATTTTACTATTTTTTTTGGAATCTTTTAAACCCTTTTCTATTAATCTCAAAGAAAACCCATTTTCTTGTTTCTTCAATGACTTCTCTTTATATTCTTTTCTTTCATCTCACTTTCTCTCCTCTGTTTTCACAGTCAAACTCATCTTTCCTCTCTAATTTAAGGTTATGATTTGCTTGATTTCAATGTTCATAACCTCCGATCCCTCTTTCTCCCTTTAATCGAGCTTCGACTTTTTCTATGGAGCCTCAAACAAAGTACCTTATTTATTCGACACTCGAAGACTCTATTGCAAGACTAAGTTAAAGGGTATGGTTCTAATACCAAATTAAGGATTCTATTCCACTTTGAATGAACATAAGAGTTTGTTTTTTTGTTTCTACAAAAACCCTCGTATCAATCCAATTTTTTAAACAAAGTTACTTTTTTAAAACGATATGTTGAGTTTGATACGCAAACCCCATATGTTTCCAAATACTCGACGATAATTGAATAAACAAAGCCATAAAAAGTTGACAAATCATTGTAAGTTGATTACGCTTGACAAAACTGTCAAATCCCATGTGCCAAATTCAGCAGCCTCCATTCCAATAGTAAAGATCTTCAAATCCAATTCGCACGTGCACAATTATTAATCTCTTTTACTGCCAAGGAAAGTAAAAACAAAAAGCTTTCTCCTTCACGTGAGAATGGAGTTCCACAACACAGAGACTTTCTGCTGAAGTTCCTGTTTTTTTTTATAACAATTTTATGTAAATGAAGGACGTGAGTGTATATGAACCATAAGAGTTTGAGCTGCCATTGTCCACAAAAACAGATTCTTTCTTTATTATATGATTTTTTTTTCTTAACTTTTTCTTTCATGGAGCGTGATGGCTGCTTCAATCAGATTAAGGAACTGTTTAGGAAGGCCATTTCCAGAGACCAAAATGCAAGGTTGATATCAGACTCAAAGAGATGGATATCAATAATGGAAGGTGGCCAGCCGTCGGTGTCCATGAACAAGCAATGGGATGCGCCAAAAGTCATTTAGGCCGTTTTCCCTCCTTGTTTTTCAAACTTTGAAAAGATTGCACACTTTGACATTTGCACTAACAATGTCAATCATTAAGGGTGATGTTTCTTAAGATCTTGGCTGTATGATTGCATTTGAAATTTGTAAGAGTTTGCTGCCTGATTGACATATGACTTCACATCAAATGAACTTTAACTTTTTGTATTGACAATAAACTAAACTATTTGGATCTTGGCGGTATGATTTTAGAGTTGGAGAGGTCTGACGATGGGGAAAAGTACGACAAGTCCGAGTTTAAAACATTTTATGCAATTAGGGAATTAGATAAACAGAATATTGAATGAGCAGGCGACGTCCATAAAGATTCATTCTGGTTGCACGGAGTATGTTCACGTTGATCTAGAAAAGATAGACAAACTTGATGTTAAAGGGTGAATTGTTACTTCATAAGTCATGACTCTAACATGTTCGGTTACCGGTTTTGAGATGACAGAGAAATGACTTTTTATTACTAATCTTCAATACACAAACATTTTAGTGAGAATTAAACTTCATTTCAAAAAGACCAGAAACAGAAAGATTGATATTCAGCTGCACTACTCATAACATTAAAGGAATCCATGAGCTCATCAGCAGAAAGTTCATCTTCTAGTATCCCCCAGTACCCTAATTCATCATCTTCTTCTTCATCTCGCAAGAAATTCCCGGACCGTGACTGGTTTTCCCTGGTCGGGCTCTCAGCATAAAAGACATCACTTTTGCTTGAGCTTCGGCTACCCTGTTCCTGTCTGGATGACCCCATTTCCACCTTGTACAAAGCTCCAACTGGTTCATAAGGATTGTTCGTCTTCTCAGTTGCAGCCCATTTGTCTCTCAGCTGATCAACCTAGTACAAAACCGTGATTAAACGACAATGAGGATAATATCAATTACAGAACTGGAGGTTTTAATGACAGAAACAGAGGCCATACCTCTGCTTTCAGTTCATGATTCACTTTTAAAAGACTGTCAAAATCATTCTTGAGCTTATCATATTCAGCATTCAATGATTCATAATCAATTTCAATCTTCTTGGTCTTTGATCGAGCTCTTCGATTCTGGAACCAAACTGCAACTTGGCGAGGCCGTAAACCAATCTCCTCTGCAATTTGAACCTTCCTCTCATGTTCAAGCTTGCTTTCAGCATTAAAAGTTCTCTCAAGCATCCGAACTTGATCCAGTGTGAGCCTTCGTTTCTTGCCGCCTCGGTTTCGATCTGCCTTCGCTTGTGGTTGCGAGAATTCACCTTCCATGGAAGAGCAAGAATCGGAGATCCATAGAGAGGGGAGAGATTCAGGCAATGGTAGGAAATGGGTCGTTTCAGAATCCATTTTGGGGGAAATGGGTGCAATTTGGATTCTCAAATGAGGCTGAAAAACCCAAGCTTTTGGCTTTCTTGGTTGAAGAAATGAAGAAAATGGAGGCCTGGAATGAGGGATTGTGTGTGGATTGGTATGATAATGTTGAACGTTTGAGGGATGGGCAGAGATCGCACTCATCAGCTCATGCAAATTATAAGCTATGTGCCGCTGATACTTCGCGACAAAGATGGAGGAAAAAGTTGCTTGGTGACTTGGCTTGCTCACGGTCAGACATCCAAAGAGACAAGAACAGAGAGATAGGGAGAGTTTTGAATTTTTCTCCCAAAAATTAATGCACATGGCACTCTTACCTTCTCATGAGATCACACATTCATTGAGAGAGAAACGAAATATTCTTATAGAAGTCCAAAGAGGACAATATCTATTAGTGTGTGCTTGGGCTATTACAAATGGTATTAGAGTCAATCGCTGAGCAATGTATCAACGAGAAGGCTGGGCTACCAAGTAGAATGAATTGTGAGATCACACATCGGTTGGAAAATGAAACAAAGTATTCTCAGTGTGAAAACCTTTCTCTAATATACGGGTTTTAAAACCTTAAGGAAAAACTATTGGAAGGAAAAACTCAAAAAATACAATATACTTCTAAATCTTATACACTATATAGTTGTACATAATATAACCACTCCCACGACAATTTAGAATATGGTTCTCTACTAATATACCACGGTTTTCTTTCTTATTTGGTTGAGCTGTAACTATAGCTCGATTGATTACGACATCTTATCATCAATGGAAGCCTTTGGTCCCTCACATCATTAATAAATATATGAACTGTTGATGGGCCCAAACGCCATCTCTTGCTTTCTCCCAAGAATAGACTGCGTTACATGATATCTAAAAACTTGGTGGATGGAGCCAAACAACACGAGGGCCATTTTTGAATGGCTTTACCACAACCAATCACCTTTACAACACTCTAGAAATTGTGACAACTTTTTTACACTAAACAACTGAAAAGGAGACTCTTTTTTTTCCGTTGATTTTGAAATCACTAAAGATCGTGGAATATTGGCTAACTTTATGTTCGACATCAAAAAAAAGAAAAGCAAAACCAACCACTTTTCATATCATCTTTTGCTTTTGTTCGAGTGGAAACCAACTATCATCAAAACGTATAATCTTGCTTCTTCTTTCTACGACTTCCTTTTATTTCACGCTTCTGTCTCTATCGATTGAGTTGTTTCGTTTCTCTCTCTATTAGCCTCTCGTAAACTTATCAAGTAAGAATATTATAAGATTTTTTTTAATGGTTTGGTGCATTAAGAAAGCTAAGCATTGTGGTAGGAGAAGATTTTAGTTAAATAAATTGAAAATAATGGATTTGATTTGATTTTATAATTTTAATTCGGAAATATAAAAATGAACTCAACTATAAACCTTCCATTATTAATGAGTTGTTACTTTCTGATGAACAGCGTTAGGGAAAAAGTACAAAGAAAATCAAAAGAATATTCCAAAATCCATCAACCACATGAACATCTTTCACTGTTAGGATTATGGATTTATCTTAATTTTTTTTTTTTTTTTTAGTTTAATAATTCTCGAGTAATTTATGCATCAAACATGTGTACACAACTTCCGTTACAAAAAATTTCAATATTTTTTTCCATCGTGTGAGATTTGAGGTTTCGAATTTATGACTTTTGGTAGTTTTGGTAGAATAAGAATATAGAGTTGGACAAAGTGACCTCGAGCATGGTGCTTTATGTACTGTTATCAAACATAAAAGATATGTAATGTACTCCGATCCATGATAACATGCTGAAAGCGTGAGCTGATTTATTGAGAATTATTATAATAAGTGAAAAACATGTTTTATATTAAAAAAAATTACACTGATTAATATCATATATGAAATATATCTTAATTTATAAAAAATGATTTCCTATATTTATTAATATATTTATATAGTATTAATATAATACTGTATTTAAAATTTTTAGAATCTAGATGGTTACCAAACATGTCGTTATTTTCCCATATTGAATAATTTATTAGATTCGTTTTTTTTTTAATTTAAATTGGGTTGGGCCCTAAACAAAAGGTTGAACTAGTTTTGGGTTGGGCCCAAAAGCCCAAGTTAATTAATTAGTTTTTATTTTAATGCATAACCACTCTATGATTGTGGCTAACCTTGACTGAGGTTGATTGTTTCATTCTCTTTCTCTAACTAAGGTAGGATCTCACAATTCATTCTTTCTTAAGAGTTCAACGTTCTCGCTAGCATACTTTTTCGGTAACTGGCTTTAATACTCTTTGTAACAACTCAATCCCATTATTAGCTGATATTGTCTAGTTTGACTTGTTACATATTCTATTAGCTTCATGATTTTAAAACACATCTATTACAGAGGTGTTTCCATATCCTTATATCGACGTAGGATCTCGCATAAGAGCAAAGGTTCTTTATAACCGGTAACGTTTCAAATTATTTTAAATTATTTTTTTAAAATATGATTTTCATTAAATTCTAACAAGTTTGGATAAAAAAAAGCTGGAATATAAATGCTTATGAATATAAATTTTATTTTAATTGAAATTAAAATAATATTTTCTGTACTTCCAAAATTGGTACGGTATATATTTTTAATTAAAAGGTTTAAAAAGATAAAATTTCTACTCTCAAACTATACTAATTAAAAAAATCCTGAAGTAATAATAAGATGAATTGAGCATTAATTAGTAAATAACCTAAGTTTGAATTGCCAAATATTTTGTGAATATATTAAGGAAAAGCATATTATATACATCTCCATAATTTTAATAGACACGTGGAATGAATCACATGCACATTGCCTTATAAGCATGACAACTAAAATTTGACTTTTCTCTTTGGATGCTTTATTTCATTAGAATATGATAAAATAAACATTTTCCACAACAAAATGACAAGAAGTCTCTTTCACGCACTCCAAAATAATAAATACCAATTTTTCGGTTTTATTTTTATAACAATTTTTTAATTAACCTATACAAGGTAAAGCTCAACAAGTCTGGAAGAAAGAAAAAAAAAAAAAAATTATATTTCAATTATTTATAAAAATAAACCAAAAGAAAAAATATATATTTCTAAACCCTAAACACATGAACAATGTGATAGGAATGATGATTTTGTTGGTCGAAGGGCATTTTAAACATAACAGGTATCTACTGAGTTAGTTAAGGATATAATTTAGATGGTGTCAATGTGAAAGGAAACTCCCTCTGAGAAAGGGAATAGCGAAAGCGAGATTGTAGTTCGATTATATTTGTGAGCGTCCTAACACCTCATGAAATTCTTGAGAAAGATAAGGTGAGAGTGAAGGTTTCACTTTTTCATTCACGTGGCCTCAAACGAAAGTCAGATGTATTGTTTACATTTAAGTATAAGCTCAAATGATTTTACTTTTATTAAAAAAAAAAAAACATGTTTTTTTCCACGTAGGAATCATTCCTTCCAATAATTTTCAATAAAACGAATGATTTTTATGTATTTTTAAAGATTAAATCATAAAAATATAAATGATTAAACTAGAATAATCAAAGTCTTAATTTTGTTTAAAGCCTCACTTAAAATTACCAAACGACGGCGTTTTTGTCCGAACTGGAAAATTGCATGTCCAAGTTCAGCTCCCCAAGTTGTCCAAGCCCAAACGTTAGGATAGATCTTAAAATATCTTATTTGAAAGCGATTTTGAAGGGCTTAAAAGTATTTTTATTCTTTTTTTCTCTCCCTATTTTATGTATTTATCTGCTGTGACTCAGTTTTATTTTTGTCGTTTGTTTGGTCAAAGAAGATTAGTCAACCCTAACATTAAAGATCACGTAAGACAATTACACAAGATCCCACGTTTGTCAAAGAGAGAAACGAAATATTTTTTATAAGAGTGTGAAAATCTCTCATTAGTAGACACATTTTAAAATCGTGAGGCTAACGACGATACGTAACGTGCTAAAACAGATGCTGAGCCCCCAAGCAGGTAGATTATAAGATTCTACATCGATTAGAGAGAGAACGAAGCATTGAATTGTAAGATTCCACATCGGCTGGCTGTGAGGCTGACGACACTACGTAACAGGTCAAAAC